GGGAACAGTGTCAAAGGCCTTACTATAGTTGTGTGATCTGCTCTGTAATTATAAAGTGTAGTTAGACAGAATGTAGTGCAGTCACCCATTTAAAGGAGAGATAGACGCCACTATAAATAAAAACATGTTCTGAATATAATTTTTTTTGCTTCTGCATAATCCTTTTTCTGCTTTAGAGCCTTTTAGGTAGCTTAATACATAAAACATTACAGGCAGGTTTTTAATGGCTTGCTGTATTGCATTCTGGTTATGTAAATAGTAAATTCTGCCTTAAAATTATTCAGTGGTTCTAAGGGGTATTTTTTAGTATAATATGGCGTCATATTTAGTGATGAAACTTTTTTTTCCCTCTGTTAGAACATGTGAAATGTAAAATGCCTTTGCGGGAAAGGATAATCTGTAGCATTCAAATAGTTTATTGGAAAAAAACCTCAAAACAATTGCATTATAGGTAGTATAATGGGGATGCGGACAGGAGAACTATTAGGTTCCATCCTGTTTTTGCTTCTTTCTTCTTCTACACTCTAGTGTAGTCTTCCAAACTGAATAGCACCTACGTTCTCTTTTTAAAAAAGACAGCAATTCTTTCTTCCTCCCGTCCCCACAAAACAGCAATTTTCCCATTCCCCTCCATAGGGAGGAGAAAGGGCTTTCAACTGTTTGCCCGGGGGTGGATTTTTTTTTTGTAGATATAGAAGCTGTAGCAATAGGAAGAGTTGTACTTTAAATATAGATGATACAGTGGCTTTTTAATTAAGCTGCAGGTTAATGGCACACATCCTCTTCATTCCACAGCAAGTCTCTCACCAAAATTATTAAGTTATCAAGAACAAATTGTGGCAAGGGAAATTTTTTTTAAAACATCTTGTAGTAAGTCGTGATGGGTATATTTATCATTGAAAAAGAGTACCAATGCATCTGCTGCAGTGGCCTCACTGGGATTTGATAATCAGGGTTTGTGCCATTCGTAGGAGAAGCCAATGTGCAACTTAGCCCATGTCTGAATGCTGGGTCCCATGGCAGACCAGAGCAGGAGAAATGATGCATTTGCTGTTAGTGAGTACAGAGTCACTAATGTGTAAATACATTTTTTTTTTTTTTTTTAGAGAATGTCAATGTTTCAAATTGGCAAGGGCCTTAGGGATAGTTTTCTGAGACTTGGCAGCTCAATTTTTGAAACAGTAATCAACTTTGTTTTTAATTGACATCTGTGTAGTTTATTGCAGTAGAGACCCACTTAAGGCTTGCATGATGAGTTGTGTGTGAGGGTGTTGGCTTATTGGTTAATGTTGATTGCTCATGTAGCTAGTATTGTGTTTCCCCTCCAGATGTCTTTACTTTCTTGTCTGCATTCACGGCCAGAGAGATGTCATTTTATGCAGGTCTTATTTTGAGCAGGTTACAAGTGCGCAGTCATCACAAAGAGCAGTCTTCTGATAACAGCTTCTGACATTTTTGTCAATGAATGCAAATAAAATAGATTACTAGTGGAATCTAATAGTTAATTCCAAGAGTGTACAATGAGTTTCTTCATTGCTGTGGCTGCAAAGCAGATTCTCAAATGCAGTGAGTGCTTGCCATCTTTGTAATGCCGGGGAGCAGCCACATGACTGCCAGTTCATCCTGTTTGACTATTTACAGGTTTCCATCCATGTCTGCATTTCTGGAGAGTAGAAGGTATCTAATATGGGGTGTATATTTTCATATGCTTCTGTGGAAGATAGGATGGCTTAATGGGGTGTAAAAAAGATGCTGATACACGCTTAGTACTTTCTTTGGTCTGTAAATTTTCCGTGCAAGTTTATAGGCCAGATTGCATTGAATCTTACAGGACTCCTATCTGAGAACTTGATGTCTGAAGTCTTGTAGTTGGAAGAGCTTTTTTTTATTTTACTGATTGTCAGTTGAGAGAGAAATCTTCAAATGACAACTGTACAGTTTATGGACATAAGAAAAAATGTCCAGACACAAATTGTACCAAATGCTCATTTTTATACTTATAGCAAATTTGTTAATATTTTTATTCCTAGGCATTTCTACAAAAATAAAGCTCAAAGAGTCAGTAGTTGCACACATAGTTTTCAGCAAATATTCAGTTGTGCCTGAGGTGTCACACTTTTGCCATGGCATGCACATAGCTTCTTAAGTGAAATGTGAAACACTGGTTTCGCCCTGGGTGCTTCGTATGCATTAAAGGATTGTGTATAAGAGATTTGCAATGGGACTTTATTAGACAGTTACAACAAGGATGGTATTTTATTGCAAAATTTTCTGTAGAAATGTGTGTCATTAACAACCTTTCTAGACCAAAGATAATTTTTTAAAAAAACAGTATTTACTTTCTTTTTTTGTTGGCATGTGTCTTTGCAGTTTGTCTGAATTTTTTATCTTACTGGATGTTTTTGTGTTTTTTCGGAGAGTATTCATGCTCTACTGCTACATAGGCCAAATGCAATGACTAGTTTAATGAAAACGATTCAGTCATTGGAAGAGTATTTGCAAACCAAATACTTGAGTATATAAAACCACTTTGAAGTTTCCTGTGTGTCTGCTTCACAGAGAAGACGAAGCCAGATTCGTCTTTGAAGGGCATAGCAATAGGGTGAGACGCAAAGCTCTGAGTTGCAACAAACAGAATTTGGATTAGATGTTTTGGGAAAAAAGAAAAATACAAAAGTCACAATGACGGTAGCCAAATACAGAAAGAAGGGCCCAAAGAACCTGAAGTGTCTCTATCTTTGGAGCTACTTGGAACTCAAGTCAGTGGAGCATTGAGCCACCTGATCCACAGCGACCCTGGTTTGAGTAGGGATTTGGACAAGATGGCCTTCAGACATCAAGCGTAAATCATTCTGATCCATACCCACAGGCCATTTAGAGAGACCATTTCAAAACTGAACAGCACCTCACAGGACACTGGAGCAGTTCAACAGCTCTTGATCTTAAAATTCTTATTTCTTGGCTTGAAGATGAAGGAAGTCAGTTTTCTGTTTATAATTTCTTTCTTCTTTTCAGTTACAAAAAAGATGGCACTTAGAGCCATAGTTTAAAATTTATTATCAAGTGGTTTAACTGATTTGTCAGTGACTTACTTTAAGCACTGTCCATTAATACAAATCATTATCACCACCAGTGGATAAATCAGAAGATTGGTAACAATAGGAGTCTTTTCTCTACAGAAAGAGCTATTTTTTTCACCTGATGAATTTTTTAGGGGGGGAGGGAGAATCCCCAAGGAATTGGAACTTGGACTATAATACAGTCTTATCTATTATTATGCTGTAATTTGATTGACATAGTAATCAAGACCAAGGACAGAACTCAACAAATACGAAAATAATAACTACGTTTTTGTACTGTAACTATTCAGGGATAACGAGTGAATATAATTGTTCATGGCATATTTCACAAGAAATAACAGCATTGCTGAATGTACTTTACAGTAGACAATGTATCTGAATGCCAGTGGGGAAGGAATTAAATTCTGTTAGAACTAAAAGATCTTCTATTCAAAGACATTTTTTTTTTAACCTGTAGTTCTCCAGCCTTTAATCACTATGTTTGTTATCTAACCCATCAGATAGAGCAGAAGAGGGAAACAGAAGATTATAATTTCTTGGGATGACCTGCAGAATGTGGTGGTTATTAGGAGTGCTGGAATTCCAGTTTATGCAAAATACAGAATTTTATTAGTTCAATTCCTTAAATGCATGTGGGGGGGCGGAATGAGGGAAGTTGAGAGAGAAGAAAGAAGTTGTTATTACACAGTAGTGGCCTGAATAGGCTGTCAGTTTGTAACGCTAGGACCTGCTTTTCAAAACCCCAATGCCTGAGATTTGTCTAGGACACATCAGAGTTAATGCTAATATTCATAGCTTAGTTAGATACACATCTTTATGCAGAACATTCCTTTCTCCAAAACAAGGGAGATTCATTTTTTGCAGCACCCAAACCCAAAGTTTCACACTAATGGAAAGGAGATGACGGGCAGCAGGAAATCAGCAAAGCTGTCAGACCTAGAATTGTAAAGGGACAGATTCCACTTCGGAGAACTTCCAGTTATAATCCCTATCTGCCATCTCTAGTATTGTCTTTGGCCCCCTGAAGTAATTTGGTAGTCTAATCAGAACACAGGAATTTTATCTATTTTAGATTCATCAATTGTCCTGTCGTTTAAGGGAGACCCAATGGACAGACTCAACTTTAGACAGGCTGTTTCAAGAACTTAGAAGAATCTGACTTAAGATATTGTTGCCATGTAACCTGTTTCCTGCGTGTAGTATGGTCATTCAGTGCCTAGTAAAACATTGTAGGGGTTTTTTGGTTCCTTACAACAGATTTCAAAAGGAGGCAGCTCACAGTTAGTAGCAAGAAAGTCTTTTCTTCTCATGCCTGCCAGTGCAATAAAATGGAAAGGGATTTAAAAAAAAATAAATGCAAAAGAAGTAGAGTGTCTGATAATTTCAAACAGTATGCTGGAATCGTTCTGACAATAAAGACTTTTATTGCACCCTTGTAGTGCCTGGGGTTTTAATTTAACACATCAATGAAAAGGCAGCATTTAAAAAAAAAAAGCCACAACCACCCCTGAAAACACCAGCAGGACTTGCTTTTATTAGTGCAATTCGTAAGAAATTAGAACGTTTAATGAGAAAATCGTTAACCATGAAAAAAATGGACTGGCTTAACTTGGGGAACTTAAGTAGTGAGACTTCAAGTTAGTTTATCAACTACTGGTAAAATAAGTAAGAAGAGTGAGCTAGTCACCTCTGGAGCAGTAGGCACCTCAGCACGCTTTCTTGTGTGCTAGCTGCTGTTGGAGAGAACCATCACCTACTTCCTTTCCTGGAAACTCTGTAGAGTCAAAAGCTAGTGCTGTCTTTCAGATTCAGTTCAGTTGGTCGTTTTATAGAACATAAATGTAACAGCGCTGTGTTATGCTTACAGTGAGCAGAGCAGAATACAGTGTTTAAACGATGTCTGCTTCTCAGTGTGTTTACTTAATCGTTGTCTCTTCCATCACTCTGGCAGGTGATTTTTCTATGTTGATGTTTTCGTGGCTGAAATGCTCTGCGACATCTCTGCCCATAACGTTTGAACATAAGAAGGGCTACCTAAGTCAGGCTAAAGGTTCTGCGCATCCAGTAACCTGTCTTTAACAGCACAAGAACAGGACAGGCAGATGCTGTGACTTACCCAGAATGCTTTCCTGCGTTTTCTTCATCAATGGAAACATAGTCTTTAATATCCCTTCATAGAATTCCTCTTTCAACAATTCTAAGAATTTGTTCAAGCATGGGGGTGTTTTTTGAACTGTTAAAACTACTAGCATCCCACAGCAGCCTGTGGGAAAGAGGTTAACTGGTTTTGTTTGAAGAGGTACTTTTGTCGTTTGTTCTTAACCCAACTCTTTGCTCTTGTTTTGGGAGAGGCAATGGACTATCACTCCCTATTCATTATTTTCACAGTGCTTCTGAGTTTATGGATCACTGTTGTACGCTCTTCGCACTTGCCTTTTCCCAGGCTGAGGTGTCTGCCAGAGGGTAAAATTGGACAGTGCCTCACCTGGAAGTAAACATGAAGAAAATAAAATACCGAAATCCAGCAGAATTTAGTTGGGCTTGCAGAGCTCTTGGTGACATTTTCACTTGTCATGTTTGCAGTGTTTTACATCTACCTAGCTTTCAGGAGCTCAACAGTGAGGATGAAACTGATGTTCCTCTTACTGTTGGTACAAGTCTCATTGTTTGCCCCTCCTCTCTCAGGCATGCACAGTTTATAATACTTGTCTCCATAATTGTAGACAGCATTACCCTGATGGAAAAATCATCAAACTACCTGTACAGAGACAACATATACTCTAGTGACAATAACAACAAGGTAGTCTTTTAACTCCAGTCACCCTACAGCTATGGTTTTGACATTATTATACCTTCACTGTAACTTTAAAGCTTTTATTGAAATATACATGTATTTCAAAGGACGTTTAGGGGATATGCTTTGCGTTGTAGAACATAACCTCCTTCAGCTTTAGGATCCCAAATGTTCTGGTTTTACTTTCTATCAAAGAACCTAGGCCAGTGCTTTTTTCGTTGGCTTTCAGAAAAAGACTTTTGCCTTGGCCCTGCTTGGGTTTCTTCTGAGTATATCTGGCTTTTCCAGAGAGGTTGAAGTAATTGTCAGTAGCTTAGATAACAATTATCAACTTGAGTAGCTTGAGGCGGTATGGGTATGGTTAACTCTTTTGGTGCCTGTGGAATAGAAAAAGAGAGATGTAAAGGAAAAATATTTTTTTGCCTTGAAAGTGTGCCGCCTTTGATTTATTTATTTCTCTTGTCTTTCAGTGAGTCGGCAGTTGACAAACCGCATTGATCAGTTCCTAGAAAATAAAGGTTCACAGTACTACATGAAAGGGATCAATTGTATCGGAGTTTTCAGAGAGGAAGCCATTAAGGTAATGTTAATATGTGAAAACTCTTGTCTCTTTCAAATTAAAGACACGATAGGCCTATTTGCTATATTAGAAATGGTAACTTCTTGCTACAGCAGAAAGAATTGATTCGTAGATTAAAATCTGTTATGCTGTTTGAAAGTTTAGAAATATATTTGCATTTTATGTTTCTTTATTCTTACTGGAATGGGGACTACCTTCTCTGGTATTACTCGATGCTGTTTATTTTCTTTTAAACATAAAACCATAAGATCTGTGGCCTGATGCTTGTAAAAGAAAAATAAGCAATCCTACAAATTTCTTTGTATATAATGCTAGTTACAGGAAAATCTTTCTAGCTTTGTAAAAGTCAGTTTTGTGTGGCTCACCTTTGCTTAATACTCTTGGTTTTAGTAGATAATGAAAACCAAAATTTGTACTGACTTTTGTGTTCACTGTCAGACAACTTCATGAAGAATTAAGTATGCAGCACTGCTTAGTAATCTACTTTAATATTTCTCTGTTATCATTGCTGTTACTTTTTTCAGCTGTCCAAGGTGCAGTGCTTTAATGATTTTCTGCAGGCCCTGAAATCAAAGGTGGAAGATAAAGCCTTAGCAGATTTCTGGGAGATCATGATACAAGGTAGGATGGCATTGAAAAAGAAAAAAAAGTATTTCTAGTTGAATTATGCATTATGTAAGAGAAAACTTTGTTAACAGTGGGACACTTAAACTAACCCCAGAGTAGCGTTTTGATATGATTCATGCCTGCAGCCTGTTAAAAATAAAAAAAAAAATCTTTCACGTTGCAACTTCATTTTTTGTATTAATAGTTTCATATCAGTAATATCCCTAATGCCTTGCCAGGTCTTGTTGAAATGGTAAATTAATTGTGGAAGAAGAGAGATAAATTAAATGTTACAGGGTAAGGAGAAGAAGATACGATTTCAGCTGAATTTCAAAATAAATGGAAAAAAACTCATGCAGCAGAGATATAAAAAGATTCTTCCAAACTAAGCTTCAAAAAAAGCATAGATAGCATTGAAATATGTCACTGATCATTTTTTGTTTAAGCAACCTGAAGGACAGATTATGTGGCAATATGACATCTGCCTATGATTAAACTGGGAGATACAAGGCAGTGCAATTGCAAAAGACATTCAGTGACTACGCAAGTGATAAATACAGGAACATTTTCACAAATACGAAATGTGGTGAACTAAAAAAATCTTTTATATCATACTCTTGTTTTTAATTGGAACTAGTGCTCAGAAAATCTGTAAAATGCCCAGCTGTATCTCTTAAGAGTGCATGCTATAAAATGCAATGACACGCTTTTGTATAACACCTTTCAAAGTGATGAACTCCAGACACTCTGTAACGTCTGACTTCGTCCAACTTTTTCAACATATAAGATGGGAATTTGTTTAGTAACCCAAATCAACAGCATGAGACAACACTGGAAGAATACTATATTCTATAGCATTGTAGGGAACCTTCTCTGAAGAAATCTGAAAAAAACCCCAAACAGTCATAATACCAACAAACTTTAAAAGTAGGAAACATGGATCTTCCAAAGCCATGCTAGAATACCTCTTTAATAATTTTTAGCTGGTACAAGCCAGAGTTTTAACAGTGGAGTATATTTCTGAGGAAAAAAAAATTGCATATACAGAGATTATATTTTCATACAAAATAGAGTATCTTCTTGTGAGAAGATGATGTAATTGTGACGCTTTATGCGTCATCTAGCTGCTCTCACTAGATAGCTGAAATGACTTTTTGCTTGCTGCCTCCAAAAACTGAAGTCTGTTTTCCTTGCTGCTTGCCACATGACCCATCCCCTCTTTCCTACCAAATCTGTGATGCACTGGGCCTTGTCCCGAGCAACTGCGGTCACCAGAAGGGGAGGGATGTGAGTTAACGAGTTGGTGACCCAGGAGCAAGGCAGATCTGTTTGCTAATTCACTGGTCTCATGAAACCCTGCCCTGTAGTTCCATGGGCACACTAAGGTGGCATTACACTCGCGCTGCTACTGAAACCTTTTTGAATCCACTGTTCTTTGCCCTCACACCCACAGCTGCTTTATTCAGGCACAAGCATTTGTGTAGCCAAGTGATAAGCCAGACTGGAAAAACTATGGGGGTAAAAAGTAATGGAGTTTTTTTTTTTTCTTTGCCCCGGAAGTCACTGCACAGGATGGTGGTGCTGGCACAACAAGGCAACAAAGTGTGGGCAGGACCAGCAATTTGGTAGTCAGATTGTAGGTAATCACAGCAGAAGTGTTTGTATGTTAGGAGTTAATTTTTCTAAGGCTATTAAGGACTGAAGAGCATGCTGTGAATGACTAAAAGTGTAATTTCTGATAGATTTTCAGCATTTCATCTGTGATCTATGATTTCAGTGTCTCATTAGTTTGATTGTCATAATATTAGCAGTTTCCTAAATGGATACTTCCACCAGCTTATGAATATGCTCATTAATTTATTTTTATATCATAGTTGACTCATTTATGCAAGTCACATTTTCCTTTGAGCAATATTTTTTTATTTTTGCTGGTGATGATGACACATTCAGAAGCTGGAAGACTTTTTTCATTTCTAACGTTAAGTGAGTTTTTGGGAAGCCTTCTAATTTTTTTTTTTTTTTTCCAGACAGAATTTCTTTGTTCACTAAAGATGAAGCAGAAGGAAGTTCGGTGACTAGTGAAGAAGCTGAAAAGGTATCATTTTTTTTAATGAGCATCTATTTGTATAGAGCCCGTGCTGTGGAATAGAAGATTCTTTCTTGTATGGATAAATCTTTAGATGAATGAAATAGGATTCACATGGAGGAAGAAGAGTGTCCTTCTGTCACACAATTGAAATTGCCCCAATTCAGAGCAAAAATAATTCCCTAGCATGTACCACAGCATTTGCCTTAATTGGTCTTTAGTAAGTAGCATGTATTGACAACATAATCTGAAAATATCCTCCACAGAGAATAGGAACTTCGGGAACTCAGTTTAGTGGAACATCAATAGACTATTTATATATGCAAGATCACTATTTGAACTTCGTAGAAAGAACTGTGATCTCATTGTTATCACACAAGTTCAAAAATCAGGATAATTTTTTTGTAAAGGCATTGTGAACTCCAGCAATATAAAGTTGCTATGGCTAATTTGCACCTTATGTGCAACGATATCAGTATTTTCCACTTTATGCAGTTCTTGTGGGTTGATGGACATCATAGATGATGCTGGTACTATTATCGGTGATCATATTAAATCCTTTTGGAAATAAAAGTTTTGCAGTATTTGCAGGTATTCTTTCTACAGAAATAAAACACTCCAACTGCAGTGATGAATGAAGGATGTCACAGTTACAAAGGAGCTAATTCTAACAGGCAGAATGGTGCCTTCTGTTTGAAAGAAAGCAGAATTCAGTTGCTGTCAAAAATTGTGTGGAGAGGATAAGACGGGCATTCTTGTATCAAGCTGCTAGCCATGATTTTAAATAGTTCAGGAGAAAGAAGGTCCTTGTATTACAGACCCCTGAAGGTAAACCTGTGGCTAAAATCACTGTGTACTTCGCAGAGAAGCAGCTTTTCTAGAAGCTGCCACATTGATTTTTGCAACTTCCAGGCCTTACATGAACAATAACCAGAATTGGGTAGAAGTAGGTTCTCCATGAGTGAATTAATGAGTGGGTAAAAGGTTGTATTTTAGAAACTGCTTATTTCATCTGTAACAATTGACCTCAAGGTGAAGAAGGCACAGAAATGTCATGAAAATGAAAAGTTAACGAAGAGTCTGGAAAGCTAAGCACATGTGTGGAGTACAAATGACAGAATATGATGTTTTTTTCTAGATGTGAAGGACCTACTGGCTGTTTCTTATCACGCAGAATTGTATAGAGCCACTTTTTTTGCCCGATGGTGGTTCTAAAGAGTATCAGTTTTTGTAACATATTCTAAATGCTGTGAATTTACTTGGAAACTTCCTAAGACAATATGTTTCTTGAGAACTTTGCTTTCTAGTCTGAAAGTACCATTGATGCTCAAAATGTGCTAACGCTGGCGAAATAGCCACTATTCCTTAAGGAAATCTGTACTAGCCGGGAAGACCTTACAGCATACTGTTGTCTTAACTATGAGCTTGTGATGGCTGAAAAATATTGTGCGGGCATAGGAATGCAGCACAAATCAGAGTACTAAGGACTAGATTTACAGCTGCCAGTCTAAGCTAGAGTAAAGCATTTGTACACTGACTTCAAAATTCCTTTTCTGCTTAATGTCATTCTACAGTCAGCCAGGTGTTGCAATGCAGGAAATTCTTTTGTGATTGATTGAAGGTCCTACAATAGCCATAAGTTCCCTTTAAAATAGTGGAGTAAGAGAGATTGCATGAAATCAGCTCTGCAACAGAGTTCTCTAGCATGGAAGTTACCCTGACTTTAACGATAAATGGGTTGCATCTCTTTGCTAACTATGCAGTTGGCAATACCAGTTATTCACTAGATAACCACCTCCCCACACACTCTCCAGATCCAAAACCAGAACTCTGATTTGCCATTTCTGTGGAGGTTTTATATGACTTTTTTATGTAAGAAACTGGAAGACTGCTTCTTGGAGTAAGATCTGCAGGGACAGCAAATTTTATCTTGAGGTTATGGGGCTGATCTAAAAACCTAGTCCTCCATGGTCCAGTTAAACCCTGCCACACATTTCCTCTGTGATACAAAGCCAGCGTTTTCCTCAGTCTATAGTAGATTGTAAAAATGGTTTATTAGTTTTCTGGACTGAATGTGATACCCTTCACTAAAGGGTTATATTGGATCTTTTAAAATACCACACAATAGAGTAAGACGCAAGTTTTCGTCATCTCTGTAACAGGTCACATGCAAGCATGTAGGTCAAGGGATTGACTGTCAAGTGTGGCCCTGTGTGACACAAAAGCCTATTCTCTGTGTGCAGGTCACTAGCTGATAGCAGTTTCAGGACTGGTTTCGATATAAGATTGCAGGTTTACAGGGTTGCTGTTCAAAGGAGAAAGGAAGACTTAGAAGTCTGCTTATTAGAGAGGTAACGCGTAAAAGTTTTCTGTTTATTTTTGGGTGAGCTATGTTTTCCATGCATATTTTCCTATCACTGAGAAAAAATGATTTTTAGGTAGTTCTCTCTTTTTTTCTGTAATACTGAAGATACTCTTTTTAGAGCATGAGGATGATAGGTTAAAAGAGCAGAAATGTCAAGTGCTTTCTGTGGTTGCTTTGGGGAAGATAATGGATTTCAGCACAACTATTATATGTAATTTGCTTTTGCATAAATGCAAAATAGGTTTTGGGAAAAAAAACAACTTTGGATGTTCAGCATTTGATGGAACTTAGGTTTCAATTTATTGCAAATCTTCATCATACAGTTCTTTAGCTTTTAGCTTTCTTTACATAATTTAGTATGGGAAAGCCAATTTTGAAAACTTTGTAAAATGTGCTACTTTCAGAAATAACCATTTGACTCTTAATAGTGTGCGTAAAATGAAATTTGATCTGGCACAAAAAGCCTTTCAGAGCTGACAGTGTCATTAGCTTTTGGTGTCATAGTGTATGCTTTAAATTACTGCTAGATTGAGAACTTTTCCATCAAAAAAGGTACACAGACATAGAGCATCTTGAAATTCTGTTTACTTCTGGCCCTGTCACCTTCTTGGGGTTTTTTTTGCAGCTATGAAGTCTATATGATGAATTGAAGTCACCATGTTAAAACCTAAGTGTTGTCTGTGGAGTAAGCTTTCTCATTCCTCTTGGATGTTGCTGTTCAGGATGTAGGAAAAGTCTGACCTTTAGGTAGTGAGACAACTAGGCAGGGGTTGTCTACATCCTCTGTCTTTGTTGTTAACCAAAAGCAATGTATTTGGTTTTCATCGTAGTGGATATGATAATCTGGTACTTGCCCACAAATGGGATGCAGCAGGTAACTTCTCCGTGTTTTACCTCTTGTCTAAAGCTGTCACTGTTACTCTAGAGAAGGCTCAGAATATGTCATTTATGTAAAATAATATTTAAGCTTTTTACAAGCATATTGTCTCAGAGACTGGTAATGCTGTGATAGGGATCCCATGACCTTTTACACAACCTTCATGGCTGTTAATAGTGGAAGTCCTCAGGTGGAACTCAATGTCATGGAATATGGCTTGTCTTCCTCCCCAGCTTTCTCAAATATCTTTTTATCTGGGGTAGGGTTGTTCCCGGCTCTGTATATTTGTTCTGATGCATTTTAATAAGGAAAAGAAAATTTATGATTTTATAGTAAGGATATTGGTAAACAGATCGTAACTAAACTTGTTGACAACTGGATACTTTTTAAGTAAGAGTTAAGTACTTGTATTTTTTTCTGCCAATCTAGCTTTTTTTTTTTTTTTTCACTCTTAGGCTAAGAGAAAAATAACTCAGAGGTGGTGGTTCTCCAGATATTGTCTATATGTTTGATTTCAGTTGTTATAGTATCTGAGCAATGTACCCGTATCTTCTTCAAGGGCAGCCTTGGCTGCAGTGACCATGAAATGGTGGAGTTTAAGATCCTTGGGGCAGCGAGGAGGGTGCGCAGCAAGCTCAGGAGAACAGAGTTTGGCCTCCTCAGGGATTTGCTTGGTAGAATACCATGGGAAAAAGCCTTAGGGGGAAGAGGGGCCCAAGAAAGCTGGTCAGTATTCAAGGATCACCTCCTCCAAGCTCAGGAGCGATGCATCCCGACCAAGAGGAAGTCAGGCAGAAATGCCAGGAGGCCCACATGGGTGAACAAGGAGCTCCTGGCCAAACTCAAGCAGAAAAAGGAGGCCTACAGAGGATGGAAGCAAGGACAGATAACTTGGGAGGAACACAGAGAAATTGTCCGAGTAGCCAGGGAGCAAGTTAGGAAAGCTAAAGCCCTGACAGAATTAAATCTGGCCAGGGATGTCAAAGGGAACAAGAAAGCCT